GTATGTAATGCGCTATCGCCCGTCACGAAGTCTTCACTTTGCTAGATTCGAATGAGTTTTGCTGCTCCAATGGACAAGCTGATGTACATCGGGAACTGGCCGCGCACGGCCACACGATACGCCGCGTGCGGCAGCGCGACAAATTACGATTGTCTTGTCCGTCTACTCAGCCACAACCAAACGCGCTGCTTGTCGGCGCCCTCTCACTAATGGTTGTTCTCTATGCTGAGTGCGCGTTTCGTTGCAGGATCTCGGTTTTGACGCAAGTGCTGCACATAGAAGATAGCGAGAGTTGAGTCAGAAGACGACATTCAGGTATCACTACCCTTCGGCCCACCCTTTTCATGGGGAGGGGGAAAGTATCACGCTATTGCATCTGCGTTCTCATTCACCTCGCACCGCCCTCGGAGGTGGGTGTACGGTTTGTCTTCAACAACTATTTACCGTATGACTTGTTGATAAGCAAAGATCACTCAGTATTTCATTTCATCTGTCTCCTTACTTTTGACAGGCGGTCATCATTTTACAGGGCATCTGTCAGAGAAGTTCTCTTCCAGGTTAGCAAGTGAGCGCGCTTATACAGGTGTATTGCGGTCTATCCATTTGATATCGACACGTATTCAAGGGAATAGGGTGGGATGAATGGCTTCGCAACTACAGAAACGTACTTCTATCTCCGCTTGAAATTGTGCACGAGCTGGGCTGGAGGGTAAGGATACTCGGATATGGTCTCCCGACTTCACCCGCGCTGCCAGCCGCAGCAGCACGCCATAGCGAACGCGTTACTTGTCTGCGACTTCTCCTTTCTGAATGCCCTTTGCCGCTAAAGGCCTGGTTCGCTGAAGAGTTTTTGTACCGATGCAAATGCTGCACAATGAAGATAGCGTAGGCGGAGCAGGAGAAGACACCCAGGTATCACTACCGTCTAAACCTGTTTCCGTCCACTTTTGAGCAGAGAAAGCGGCACGCTCCTGCAGCTCATACCATTCACCTAGCACATGGAAACGACCGTTCTCTGAGGTGAGTGTACAGTTTGTCTTTATCAAGTATTTACCGAGTGATTCGTTGATAAGCGAAGATCACTCAGAACTTCATTTCATCGGTCTCGCTTCTTTTCAGCGGCCGAACTCCACTTTACAGGGTATCTCTCGATGACTGGTACGTTACCTACAGATAGACCCTTATCTGGCAACCTAATCTGACAGAAATGAGCGCCAGAAGTCACCGCGCGACGTCGCGAACAAGCAGTTTGAGTGCCACAACTCTCGTTCTTCTCCACTCCCAACCAGACACAAACTACTTCATCGTGTGTGGCCACGCCTACGCCACGCACGTCGCGCCAGGTTCCGACGCTTCGAGTGTTTCTAGTGTCACTCCAAAGGTGCGAGAAGTCGCGTGGTGACCTTCTGTGACATACAGTAACTTTACTGCTTCAGTAGGATGAAGACTGCCTAAAGCGGCAAAGGTTTGCCTACAGCTGCAAAGATTCTGGCACTCTAAGATTCTAAAACTGGGAAAACGAAATGTGAAACGGTACCCGGTGAGTGTTCGGTCTTCCGTAATAAGAAGTCTCCTTCTTTCTTGAGTAACGGCTCTGCGTCCATTCTGCCAAAGATTTTGGTCAAAGCTCATACATGCTACCAGGTTTTGGTTACTCACCGGGGAATGAGTCCATGATAGTACTCTGCACCACGGACGTCATCTGTTATCGAGACAGCATCATCGCCTGCTTGTGAGTTCTGCAACTGTTGTCAGTCAGTCTGCACACGGTAACTCAGAAGAGGCGCAACTTACCCCGTCATTTGTGTTTTCGGTTTTGTCCTTCTTGCCCTTGGTCATCGGCGGAATGAGACCTACCGCTCATCTTCAAGTGTTTTCAATTAGGGGTTGAATAAACAACAGACTGATTGTCTGTTGATAACTTGGCAGTTCCTTCATCACAAAATGAAAGTGCTGAGGAAATGATGGACTGGAACAGCCCACTTGGGCGCCTGGTGCGAATGGAGTGCGCGCGACGCCACTACATACTTCGCTGCCGTCGGCGCAACGCAGACAAATTTTATTTTCTTTTTCCTTTTTCTTTTTTCCGGATATTTTTCCTTGCACCATCTGAGGCTGCGCTCATACTTTGCGGCGGCAGCGATCGCAACCGCGCTGCCAGCTAATCTAGTGTCGCGGCAGTCAACTAGAAAGTTTTAGATTAGCGAGCTAACGTCTGCCAGTCCCCACCAGGAAGTAGAGAGTTTGGGGAGAGGAGGGTGGCAGACAACTGGATTAGATGTCGTTAAATTGCGGCACCTATACTTCCCTAGCCCTCGTGACGCTGACAGGCGCTGGTAGACGCTGGCAGACGCTAGATCAATATGCGTGCTTTTCTAGTAGCTCACGCTGCCGGACGCTCGAAATGCTAGTGGAAGCTGGTGGACGCTGCCGCAAAGTATGAACGCAGCTTAAAAGGCTCTATTCATTCTCGATTACCTCGCATGTGGGATAGCGCTCGTAACGTCCTCCATCAGGAGCAGATCAGGGTCCTGGGGTGCTCCTACTAGACACGTCTCTCAGATTAGATTGACCGCATCGGTAACAGCGAATGGCACTACCGCCCACTTCTCCCTTGGACGTGGGGGGGAGGCTAGCTTCTAGTTCACTGGGTGTCTCAGTGAGAGCGGCGTACTTTGCCGGTGGGCCACTCGCCTATGTGGTTTGAGACACATTCTGTAGAACGCATGTCGTAGACGGTGGGCTTGAAGTATGATAATTTATGTGCTTTAACGGCAGTCGGATCGCCGCTTGACGCCGAGCTCTCCTCCTTCTTTTCAGCTCGGCTTCGCCGAGGCCTGACTTCGCCAGGCGCCAGGCGCATGGAATGGAATTTGTTAATTGCCTGAGCTGCTCATATTGCGCGCTAGTGGTCGAATCATAATAGACAGAGTAACCTAACGAAATCTGTACCCCTCATATTTGCAGAAGGCGTGCTGGTTTCGGCCATAACGCCCATTCTATACGTAGATCTTAGAAATATATAGGAAGTACAGAATATCAATATGTGTTGCACAGTAGACGAACAAATCCCGTTTTTATTACCTGCATCACAACACCAACGGTGGGCGATTAACTTGTCATTAACATGCAATCCACCTGCTAAGGTTGCATGAATGGCTGCAGAAGACAATATTTAGGCTGCGTTCGTGAATATCTCACAAACTACTTCGTTATTCGTTCTCATCAGTGATTAAAAGTTGAAAAGCAAAAAAGAAGTTAAATACTCACTGAACGCATAAAGTGTGTTCCAATATTGAAGTTTTTGATTTTTCCAAACTTTTGCTGTTTCAAGGCGAAGTATATACCCCCCCCCTAGTGGGATGAGTACATTTTTTGGTGCTATCAAAGGAGTGATGGCTGTGGGAAAATTTTGCTTACTGAGAGGCTTTTTTTTTTTTTGGCAGTATAGTGGTCAGAGATGTCGTGAGAATGTCCCCTTATCTTTACTTATCAACTGATAAAATTGCTTGTCACCCGTCATCAATGTCGCTATCACTAAAACTCCATAATTTCGTGGTGAAGAGCTTCAGCATTTGACTGAGCAACAACTGCATCGTTTTCTATCAGACCCTATCAGTTATCATTTCCTGTCACCCGCCGTCGCCTTCTCCACCTTCCCCTTGATACCATTTGCTGAAATCAACGCCTAACTGATGCTATGTCCCGCGTTATGAGTATGTTGTCCTTTCCACTCTAACTCCCCTTATCAGCAGCTAGCAGTTCTTGTCACCCACATATCCCTGTGCCGTAACCTATATCATACCTTGGAACAAACGCCCCAGTGTTCCAGTGGGACTCCCCCTCTGCTTCCTTCCCTTGCGCATGCTCAGATCGGGCTGAGCACGCGCAGGGGAAGGAAGCAGAGGGGGGGGGGGGGCACTGGGCGTCCCCCTCCCTCGGCTCCACCCCACCCTGCCCCCGCACGAGCACACGTCCAGCTGCCACGCCAGCAGCTCGTGCAATGGCTCGGAGCTGTACCGAATGGTTGTCTTATATAGCGGAGGCCGATATCACGATCAAAACATTGGATTGATACTTCCGCACCGATTTGCCCGTTTGCCTAGCGGTCGTTTTCGCCTCCAGCGAACTCGAACCTGTGAAGTATTGTGCGGACGGACAGACAAACATACATACATACAAACAACAAAACCGACACACAAAAGTTACTGCTTTTATAAATAGAAGGATTGACTCACAAGTACAAGAAGGTAAAGGCAGCCCCTTCAAGATTCGGGCGTGAGAAAAACTCACCGGCGGCGCGCAGGTGCTGAGCAGTGTGTAGTGTGGTGAAGGACTGAACACAGGTAGGCGCTGGCATCACTGCTATTTGTATTGACTAGCCTCTTAACACTGCTCTACAATTCACAACCCCTCTTTGCAAAAGTAGTGACTGTGAGTGCGGCTGCAATCGGCTTACCCAGGGATGTGTCTTAGAAGACAATTCCAGAAAATGAGATTTTAAATCAGCCGAGACAGTTGGCTGAGTCAGAGGTCGAAATGAGGCTTAACCATACCTGTAGACGGGCTGCGAGGTTTGACCTAACTTTCTTATAATAATTTCGCCTCCAACGTCTCCCGCCATAAATCCATACCGTGATGAATTTAACCAACTTGGAAAATAAAAGGGACTCGTAACGTTTACTTCAACAACACGCCCCTGATCCGTACTCTAGGGTGAGTTCACCAAATGAAATGAAAGAAGGGACCAATCGACTCTACTAATGACTCTACTAAAGAATTTGTCTTTAGGTACTCGTTTCGTACCAAAGAAGATTAAGGGAGAAATCGAGATTTAAAAGACAGCGATTTCGATCATATGCGTGCCAATTACCATCACCAACCCCTCCCTCCCACCCCCCCCCCGCCACTAGTGAATGAATAGGGTCGCTACTATGAACAGGGCACAGTATTGGGATCAGGAACGTTGGCATGAGAACATCCCTGTTCCCCAAAATCCTTCTTAAGGTACCACTGAATTTCTTCTTTCCACCTACAATTTTGATTCATTCTCCCATTCTCATCGTAGCGCAGCTAAAAAACTTCTTTGCATTAGGAAGAAAAGAACTGTCAGATACGGCCCCCTCGACCAGTGTCCTTTAAGCTCCCTGGCTATTCCCATTTTTGTTGCAACCAGTTTTCCAGAAAACTGCTTTCGAGCACAGGAAAAGGTGCCTCTCAATCAAAGCTATCAGAAATGTAGTTATATGTACTGACCACTACATAAGTAGTGGTTCTGGTGAGGAACCAACTAACAACTTGTAAGAGGAGTACGCAAGTAAATCGGCGGAAAACATCCACATCTCTGAAAACTCGTAGTCAAAAGATTTTTTTCTTCAAGACTAGACACGACTCCTCCCTACAATGATCACATACGACCCCGATGAAATTCTGCCCTTATGGCCTTCCTGAAACAAAAAAAATTAATTATCAAAAATTTTTCTCGGACCAAACATGACCCCTCCCCCTTCTCCCAACGACCGAATGCGACCCCTCCCTTTTGGGGTATCCTCAACGATGATGTGGACCCTGACCATTGTTGTCGGGAGTAGCAGCAGCGTTAATTTAGTTACTCCAACAGGGCACAGCATTAGTTGGGGATTTTGGTGGAGCCCGTACGACCCCCCCCCTTTTGGAGGGTTCGGTACGACCCCCCCCCCTATACATAAACTTATGAAGTTTCTTCCCCCCCCCTCCCCCCCCGAGGAGGAAGAAACTTCATAAGTTTATGTATAAGTAAGCGCGAAAAATAGAAAAAGTAACAATCCTGAACAAGGCCCCCCTCGCTTTTTGCTCATTTCTATCCTGATTCAGAAAAGAGAATAGAAAAGAAAGGCCATTAGGTTTCACCCACCTTCCCTCGAGTCAAAACAAACTCTGGTACCTGAATCAATTGCAATTAAAAGAAAAAAAAAACAGGAAATTAAGCCAATTCTTGCCTAAAGGCACTCGTGAGCGTCAAGCAATTGCTGGGGCGCGCTCTGACGCGTATTCGAGTGAACTGATAAGAAGATAAATATTCGATATTCGAGTAAACCGAGAAGAAGATAAACACGAAAGAGTAAATACGAACGAGAGCAAACCAGCCGCAATCAGCTGATTAAAGGCCGAGGTACCGGGGGAGGGATTCTGGGCAGGACCAGCCATGTGGAACGCGAGTTTTCAGCAAAGTGGGGTGTCTTTGAAGGACCATAACTTCCTCAAAAGCGGACCTGTGGGGAAGAGGAGACCGTATTCGTGTAGAGGAAGGTTTGCACTTCCTAAAAGTACTGAAACGTTTATGAAGGTCGCAAAAATCACAGAGAAATCTGCCATGGGGATTCGTTGGGGAGTGATTTCAACTGAACAGGTTTGAATCAATATATTTTTTGTAACTCAACATTTCACAAATCTGAGAACGGTTTCGAGTGTTTGAAGATTTTCTCTTTCTAAAAACCTCTTGAGCTGTTTCTGAAGTTCTCGGGATTCATGAGATCTCGCTATGGGGATTTCTTGGGGAACACTCCCAGCTGCGCGAAAAACCCGTTTCCTGTGTACCGTTTCAAGTGAGCGTGTTCGAATAACCAGGAACGCATGAAAAACGTATCCTGTGGTGGAGCAGGAGCAGGATATGGTTTGTTTAGCGCCAATCATGCTAACTTTGGATGCGCCGCGCATTGAGGTCCGCGCAGAGGTGATGGGATGGTGATATGTTTGAGCGTAATGTCTGTCCACGCGAGCAAATGTGTCTATAAGGATTCAGGGAGGAGCCTGTGCACTTGTTTACAGTGTTTTCCGTTGCGTATGATGGAGCGTGTCCCTGTCGACGCCGCCAGATTCGTGCTCCGCCAATTGCTGATTCCGATGAAGGAGACCAACTGCTGGAAAACGTCTGATACGAACGATATGGTAGTCCTGTCGTTTGTCGAAAAAGCAGGTTGGCTCAGCGCCAAGCGCGAGAAAAATCGCGGAACCCGGGCCGCCCCAATCATCCGCAGCTATCCAGGGTATGAGTTCACTAAACGACAGGCGGCCAAATACGAACCCCCCTGTTGGGGATTCCCCAACCAACGAAGTGCCCTGATCCAAAACAACCAAAAAAGTCGTTGCCCCAGTGCAAATATAGAGCGCATGAAGCGGCAAAAATCGAGAAAGGTATCGGTCATGAGAATTTTCTCCGAAGCAACTACGACCTCCCTTTTACTGAAAAGTATAATTTTGCTCCTTCCCCAGTGCTGGATCACCGACGGACGGCACCACTTTTCCCCATAGTTGAAAATCGAAATTTCGCGCGATCTCTCTTTGTGTGGCCATGGTGATGTAGCGCAAGCGACTTGTCTTAACCTCACACACATTAGTTATTTTTCTAGGTATTTGTGCAGAGTTGTCTAGTGAGAAAGCTAAAAGTGAAAACGAAAAATATTTTGCAATTAAGCCAATATTTTTCCTATTTTCTTATTGTTAAAAAGTCAGTTTTGTTATTCTAGCAGATATCCATGTCAATTATATTTGCCCATTCCTACTATTTGCGACTGCTGCTTAGTTCTGCTGCCTTCCAGATCCATGAATATAACATGGAATAGATTTGATTTGGAAATGAAATTCTCACGAAGTGATTTTGAACCTTCTATACTTAGGTTGTCCGGAAAGTTCTCAGCGTTTTGAGTGTTTCACTTTAACCAAATCGTAACTTTCTTAATAGCTTCATACAGATTAATCGAAATAAGCACGTTCGAAATCAGCACACTTTTTGCCGAATGTGACACCTAGTTGCGAACACATCCCATATCAAAGAAAAAAACTGGGTGGTCGAGAATCCACAGGCTTTTTTGCCTGGTCCTGATTGATGAAGTATTTTCCAGCAAGGAAGTTCTGAAAATGTTTGAAAAGGTGATAGTCGATTGGCGAAAGGTCTGAAGAATATGGCGGTTGAGGTAGAACTTCAACCCCCAATTCGTTCAATTTTATGGATAGTGATTTGTGAAACGTGTGGGCGGCGTTGTCATGCAAAAGAATCGGACCCTTTCTGTTGACAAGTGCTGGCTGCAGCTGACGCAATTTTCGGTACATTTCGTCGATTCCTTCACAGTAGGGTTCTGCTGTGATGGTTTGGCCTGGTGATAAAAAGTTATAGTGGATCACACCAGCCGATGACCACCAAACCGTGACCAGAATCTTTTTTTCTTCGTGAGGGTTCGGCTTTGGAAATTGCCCTCGGTGGTTCGTCGGCATCCAACCATTGTCCGGAACGTCTCCTGTTATCATACATGATCCATTTTTCATCACAGGTGACAATTCGGTTCAAAAACGGGTCGTTTCTGTTGCGCAAAAGCAGTGAAGAGGAAACCTCGAGACGTGCCAATTTCTGCCGGTCACTCAAATTGTGGGCACCCACTTGTCGAGTTTTTTCACCTTCCCAATGCCTTTCAGACCATCCGCAACAGTGGATTTGCCAACGCCTAGCTTTTCTGCAATCTGTCGAACTGTTTATGAATAGGTCAAGCCTCCCAAAAAAAAATGCCCGCTTAAAATCCTCGTCAGATATTGCTTTAGGTCGACCGCTACGAGGTTCATCTTCAAAGCTGAAATCTCCAGAACGAAATTTGTCGAACCGTTGTCGCACGGTGTGCTTTCTCCAACACTATTGGCCCCCACACCTGGTTTATTTGTCGAGCTGTCTCGACTGCGGATTGACCAATTTTTAGTCGAAGAAAAATATCGTCCTAAAATGATCTTTTGCATGCTCAAAAAGTCTGGGAAAAGTTAAAAAAACATTATCAACAAGGTGAAACTGCAATTATACCATCAGATAGCGCGAGAAATTCTCTTCGGGATGTACTACTGAGACGCAGGGGAAAATGACTTTAATCAGCAATGATGTACAAAAAAAAAATAGTAACACAAAACGCTGAGAACTTCCGGACAACCTAATAATATCGTCGCAGTCGGTGGAGCGGTGTCTGAAAGGGCGGAATGCGCCCACCTCCGGCTGCGTTGCTCTGCCAGTGGTGATCGGTGAGTGTTCGGTTAAGAAGAGACAAGCATTAGGAGAAGCGCCGTTCGTCGGCTCATTGCAGCCCTCTCGGGACCGCCCCGTCTGATTGCTACGATATAAGCTGTACCTCGTTTTGAGTTGGTGGGTGCAATGCCGCCCCCACTGCACCAACACGTCGATCTTCGGAATGACTCTCTTATTTCTAGCTTTTTAATAAGCATGATTTTTGCAAAGGCCTCACTCAGCTGAGGGCCACTTTCAGCCCAAGGATGTCCATGCCGGAGACGGCCAAATGGGTCTCGGCACTGTCAGACGAGCAGGCTGGTGTGTTCACGTTTTCTCATTGCGTCTGTTTATCCGACATGTATGGTGACGGCGATACCAAACTCGTCCTAGCGCATGTAGGCAGTTCAAGGTAAGCACTGGATCGTCGTTATCCTCTTTACACTCTTTCTTTGCTTACATTTTTTATGCCATTTCTTCTTCCTTCGCTCTTTATGTCTTATCCGATATCTGATACTGATATGTGAATATTTTGTTTACTTGTTTACTTTTATTCTCATTTGATTATCAACTAGTTTGCCATGAGAGCTTCCTTGAAGGCCAACATTCACGTATACTCTAGTATATCCCGGAGATGGCAGGGGCGTGGCTGAAAACTCCATCTGAACCCTGGCGGCGGTTGGGCATGTTTTCGGAGTCACTGTTTAGCACGAGAAATGGTGACACTTAGCTCAAAATGAAAAACATTCGCATGCGAAATGGCTCCAATAGTTGTGAATGGGAG